AAAAAAAAAAAAAAAAAAAAAAAAAAAAAAAAAAAAAAAACATTGTATTTTTCTCTACTCTCTCCTTTACAAGTGCTTACCTTGCTTATTCACTTAACCATATGTGATTAGTAATTGAACATGCGTTTAAGTTTACAATCAGCATATTGAAGAATACGTCCACGTGTGCATCATTTTGATCGACACTTATTGACACGTTTTTGGAGATCAACAACCATTTTTGAAAATAAGTCAAAGAAAAAACAAAGGAAGGGAAAAGAAGAATAGGGACCCAAATGTCAGTATTTTGATGTTTCTAAATAGATGGGACTTAAATGTCTCAAATAACAAATAGAGTTCCGAATACCATATTTCTTAGAAGATGGAGGGGCGAAAAAAATCGGCGGAGCGTTAATACTAGCGGGAAAACCCATCCATTTCCCGCCAGATCTAAAATCCCTAAATTCCCCCAATCCTCAACACTCCTTCACCGAATACTTTCATCTCGGCCAATCCAGATTCTCTTCTCAAATCCCAAATCCTTCCTCTTTCTGTTTTCCGATACTAAGAGTATCTTAGAAATGGATAATTATGGCAGCAGCGGGTACTTTGTAGACGAGAAAGCGGTTCGGGTTGAGAATATCTTCCTTGAGTTCTTGAAGACTTTCAGAGTGGCCGAGGAGGGATCTATGCCTTACTATGAGGCGGAGGTGGAAGCAATGATGCGAAACGAGTCCAATACAATGTTTATAGATTTCTCTCATGTCATGCGCTTCAACGACCTTCTCCAAAAGGCTATCTCCGATGAATTCCACCGATTTGAACCTTACTTGAAGAATGCTTGCAAGAGATTTGTCTTGGAGCTCAAGCCCACCTTCATTGCTGATGATAATCCTAACAAAGACATCAATGTCGCCTTCTACAATCTGCCCTTGGTTAAGCGGTAACTGATAATTCATTATCAATTCGCAGTTTCTTCTACTTTTTTTTCTCTCTCGATTGATTATCGTTTGGATGATTTTTTCAGATTGAGGGAATTGACTACGGTCGAGATTGGGAAGCTGGTTTCTGTGAGCGGAGTGGTCACTCGGACCAGTGAAGTTCGCCCGGAGCTTCTTCAAGGAACTTTCAAGTGTTTGGAATGTGGGAATGTTATTAAGAATGTCGAACAGCAATTCAAGTACACTGAGGTTCATATTATCTACTTATCTTCCTCCTAAAAAATCGAATACTTACACATCCTCTATATTGTTCGTCCAAACATGCAGCCAGTTCCAGCTATACTGACGCCAATAGAAAGAGAAAACGAGTTAACAAAAATAATAAGATTTAACTTGTAACTTTGAAGCTCTATGGCATGGTATCCTGAGGATTTTTAAATAATCGAGAGTAAAATCAATGGAAAGTTTTTTGTCTTAGGCTCTGTTCTGACTTGGATTTAATCTAATAAGATACTGTGGAAGTTTGAATTTCTGCACAAAAATGATCAAGTTAGATAATTTACATTTCCTTTTCATGTATTCAATACAAATTCATAAGGAGCCTAAGATTTGAAGTGGAAAGTTTTAATTCATGCCTTGGTGCATCTGATCTTTGCGTGCAGCCTATTATCTGCATGAATGCAGCATGCCAGAACAGAACACAGTGGGCACTTTTAAGGCAAGATAGCAAATTTTCCGATTGGCAGAGGGTTCGAATGCAGGAGACATCCCAGGAAATACCTGCTGGCTCCCTTCCCAGATCACTTGATGTCATTCTACGCCATGATATTGTTGAACAAGCTAGGGCTGGTGACACGTAGGAATCATTTCATTTACAGCACATTAGTGTCATCCGTCTGTTTTATGTTTATTGTAATATGAAATGTTCTTATTCCGTATTGTCATTCCCTTACAGGGTCGTATTCACTGGTACTGTTGTGGTGATTCCTGACATTTTAGCATTAGCTTCCCCAGGGGAGAGAGCTGAGTGTCGTAGAGAAGCATCTCAACGCAGGAATGCCTCTGCTGGTCAAGAAGGTGTCAAAGGTCTTCGTTCATTGGGTGTGAGAGACCTTTCCTACCGCTTAGCCTTTATAGCCAATTCCATACAGGTAGTGATTCCTTTGTAACTGCGAGCAATTTTCAACTTTTACCTATTTATGCCTTTTCTCATATATGTGCTTCCTTTTCTCCTTGCAGATCTGTGATGGTAGAAAATATAATGATATCAGGAAGAGGAGGGATGCTGATGATGATGATATCCAGCAGTTCACGGTTGGTTTCTTAATGAATCATTTTTTCTTTCTCCAAGAAAAACATGATAATTTGTTTTTCGTAATCAGTTATTAACGACCATTCAGCACTTTCTCAAAATTAGGCAAAATAATTCATTTATCAATAAAAATCATCACACTACTGCTTAAACTGTGCCTTTGGGATACACAAAGAATGAAATTTGTATGCTGCTGAAAAATAAAAACTATGGTTGAAATTTCATCGAAATGTGGAGATTCAAAGATTACTAAAAGTAGCTTTCTAGTAAAATGCTCAAAACTGTGAGCATTTCCAAAAATCAGTAAGAGAACAGGAAATATTTAATAGTTGGGAGACATCAAAAAGCTTATGAATGTCTTCCCATTTTATTCTGTGAGTACGGATATCTCCCCTAAATAACTTGTGCCAGTATTTTCCTACATTTGATTGTCCGGGCAGGCAGAAGAATTGAATGATATCCAACGAATGAGGAAGACTCCTGACTTTTTCAACAAAATTGTTGATAGCATTGCCCCAACCATTTTTGGCCACCAAGATATCAAACGAGCAATTCTGCTTATGCTTTTAGGTGGAGTCCATAAATTTACCCATGAAGGAATCAATTTGAGGGGTGATATCAATGTCTGTATTGTGGGCGATCCCAGCTGTGCAAAGTCTCAATTCCTCAAGTATTGACACTCTTTTTCATCTTGAGTATCCTTACTTATATGTTCTATTTACATATTAATTTCTAATGCTCCATCCATCTTTCAGGTATACATCAGGTCTAGTTCCAAGGTCTGTCTACACATCAGGGAAGTCTTCATCCGCTGCTGGGCTAACTGCAACAGTGGCCAAAGAACCGGAAACCGGTGAATTTTGTATTGAGGTATGCATTCTTCTATTCTCTTTCTACTTTGCCTGTTGCTGAATTAGGAACTGCTTGTTTTAAATCTTGAATGATGTTTTGTGATGCATGAGATGAAGGTTTCGGAAAAGGTCATTGGCCTATTGAATGTGTTGGTGCTTTATTTCTCACCAGATAGGTGCAAGAGCTATATATTAATTTACCTCACCACATCAAAACTATAAAAAATGTTTTATGATTTTTTCACATGTCCAATTCACATCATCTACGAATTGCACAGAGAAATTCATGCTCATTTCTTGTAAATATATTTTTTAACATTGACAATTCTTGAATAATAATTTTAAGCTCAATCAAGAATATCGTATCATAATCTAATTACAAATTTTAACATGTTCTTTATCATTATAATCCAGCCTTTTTCTAATTCAACAATTTGATGTGGTGCCTTCCGTGCTATTAACATAAACTTCTATTCCTCTTAATATCCATCTAATTTTTGCTCTAAGGCTGGCGCATTAATGCTTGCTGACAATGGCGTCTGTTGTATTGATGAATTTGACAAGATGGACATCAGAGATCAGGTAATTATATAGCTTATATAGATTTCTCTTCCTCCATCTAGAACAAGACCCCCCCCCCCCCCAAAAAAAAAAAAAA